CAAGGGTCTTCTGTTCTCCCCTCTTAACATCTCATCGTGTAGACTGCTGTGACAAGGGCTGTCGTGAGAAACTAGGATGGGCAGCGGCCGCGCTTCCCTGACCCGGGGGGGTGGTTGCCGTGATTGTACCCCACTAGCTGAGTTTGGGAAAGAGGAAACATGAGTTTCCAAAATTTAATTAAAATGGAGTTTTATTAGCTTACCCTGAAGTGTCAATAAAAAATGCACATGGCCGCTGGCGTTCCCATGTCTCACCGTAACTCTGTCTTGCGGTTATTAGGCCTTTTGCTTTATTTGCTTTATTGACTGGCAAACTCTCCGGGGGTTTTTTAAGTTTGCTTAGATGTTGTCTTGACCATTATTAAAGGAAAAAAAAAAAAATCTCTCCTCAGCGCTGTTTTTTTCATGTACTGAAGATCTTTTCCTTTGGAGCAATATATTGAAATCTCTTTTAACCCATCAGAGCAACTAAGAAAGACCACACTGCAGCAATTATTGATGTCATAAAAACAATCCCTGCCACAAATTTCTTAACTTCCTCTTGGGGCTGGGCAAAGGGATGCTTCCTTTGGGTTGAAAAGCACACATTACTGAAAATGTCATTAGTTAAAACATTACAGGAGAGGTGAGTTTTCTTTCTAAACTCTGAATGAAAAGGCTCTTGGCCACCCTCACTGAGCTCTGCTGCTGTTCGTATTCCCTGCGACTTGGCTAGGACTTGGTGGCCGGTGGGCTGGGATTGGCTGATACTCGGTCTCTGACTGTACAGTTCTTCTAAATGCCTTAAATATTTGATGTATTTGACAACACTTACAAACTGGGAGACTTTGGGCCTCCCTGGTGGCGCAACGGGTTAAGTCTCAGCACAATGAAGCTATAGGCAGCCGCTTCAGCACAAGTGCGATCCCCAGCAGGGGAGTGACCCACGGGGTGCAGCAGACCTCTCCTGTCACCCTGCTGCTCCCCTCAGCAAGTCAGTAGATTTGCCTGTTCTGCTCCCCACTCTGTCTCTGGAGAATCCTCTCACCCCCTGCACTTCTGGCCTGTACCCCAGTTCTTGGGTGCATAAATAAAAATAAATCTTTAGGTCCCTCCCTGGGGGCGCAGCGAGCTAAAGCACTGCACTAAGAAGCTTAAGCCACTTCCGCATGAGTTTGATCCCCGCCTGCCCTGGAGGAGACCACATGGCGCGGCAGACCTCTCCTGACCCACCCGCTGCTCCCCTTAGCAGTGTGCTTCATCCATCTGCCTGTTCTGCTCCCCACTCTGTCTGGTGAATCCTCTCACCCTCCACATCTGTGGCCTGTACCCCAGTTCTGTACAAATAAATAAATAAATAAAAATAAATCTTTAAAAACAGAAACTGGGAGACTCAGGTGTCTGACTTCCCAGCCAGAAGTTCCAGCAGCTCTGGCCCACGTTCCAATACGGTGAAGCCAGAGGGCCGCATCTTCCTCCTGTGGGGCTTGTCCTTGCCCATCACTGCTGTCTCCCCAACTCCCAGGGGCTTCCACAGCTATGACAACCCCTAAAATGGAAGAAAACTGGACGCTCCTCTCTACGTTGTAGAATCAACCATTCGAGGGTGCCCCTCTCTGGTCCCAACCAAGGGGTGCCAGCCAGTGAGCCCAGATACAGCCCAACCTGCCTTGAGAAGCAGCTGCTTCAGCAACAGCAAACATCATTTCCCAGCAAATGAGCCACTTCAAAGACGGACTTCAAATATGGCAAGGCTGAAGCTCCGGTTCCCAGAAGAGACGCTCTCAGTAGGCAGGGTCGTCCCAACAACCTTTCTTGTTTCCTCAAGCCACTGACATCCATGGCTACGTTCAGCGGCCACCGCCCCGGACTTTCCCTGAAAAGACCATTGAAAAGGCAAAACGTCTTTCTCACAACCTCTGTGAAATCCTCATGGTGAGGCCAGGCAGTGGCCAGAGCCTGCCCAGAGCCCTCTGGAGGCGGCCCCTGGCCCAGGCCTCCCGTCTTTAATAGATTCCCGTACTTTTCTTCCTGTAAGTCAACTCCAGCAGCTTCCCTGTGGAAGAGGGGGTCAGGGCAGCATAAACTGGGGGCCAGGGGTGATTCTAGTGGCCGCCACTGGGGCAGCTTCCTTCGCGTATGTGACGGGGCAAGGCGAGAGGGAGAGAGGTGAGGCCCAGGTGTTCCGCCTCTGGAGGGAACGCTCATGAGCCTGGGACCTAGTTCATCAAGACGAGGTCACTGGCCTCGATGGGGGTGGGCAGGGGGGGTTCCCCATGTCCCTGCTGGTTCCCACCTCCACCTGCTCTCCCAGAGCTTGCTCCCACAGAACAGGAAGGTGGCTCCTCGTCTCGGCAATGTCTTGGGTTTGCGTTATTCTCAGCTGCTGTGCTAGAACAAACCCATCCTTCACACTTCCCCATTGTCTTGAGGGACCCACAGTGGTCGTTAAGCTCAGAATGAAGATGCACAGCACCCGGGAAATGAAGACCTGATCCGCGCCGAGGGGCATTCCCTGGTCCTGTGTGTGTCGCTCTTACAGGCCTCCATAAAAGGTGACTGACACCAGTGACCAGCCGAGAGCGCTTCAAGTCCCATGGACAAATATCAGCTAAATTGCTTGAGGGAATTTTCCGCCTTCTGTGCTTTTTTTCAAATGCCTTCTAGAATAGTTTAGACTCCAGGAAAAGAGGTGATTTAAAGCTCGCGGGGAAACCTGCATGTTATGTGGCCCTGGATGTATGTTTCTCTACATATTTAGGTTGGCTCCAATGTCTCGTATTTAACCCGGCACTAGAATTGTGTAGTTTGAACATCTGGGAAAAAATGGTTCATTATTTCCATATATGTAGGTATAAATTATTTGTGTATATTTATATAGGTATGATACAAATATCTAGGTGTAAAGCGGGCGACACAGCTCGCACCTCCTGTTGGGTGCTGTGTTCTATTAGGCAATTGTGTCCTTGCTAAGCGTGAACAGCAGCCTGTCCGTTCCCCACTCAGCTTCCAGCACAAGCATTTCCACGCGCTGGACGCCACCACCCCTGCGCCCCACTGGTGCATCCCCCTCCAGACCTGCCCCTTGGGTGGCCTGCCAGCATGGACAGCCTCTAGACCTGGCCTTGGCCACTGGGGGCCACCAGCTGGATTTGAGGGAAAATGGCACCGTCCTCCCCGTCCCCACGAAGGCGGCCCTTCCCTGGGACCCCTAGGGGGTGCCCACCCCCTGACCAGTCACCCCTTAATCTCAGCTCAAGTTCTCGACCCCATGAGCATGGGATCTCCTGCTGCCCCACCGTTGTCGCCCATCGATGGCCTCTAGCTGAACGCATAAGGGGAAAAACCCCCTCAATGCTATTTTCTAGAATTTGAACACTATTTGGGAAAATCTGGCCAATTTAAAAGTTTGTTTATGTTACAAAAAATTTTAGATTTCTATATTCTACCTTTCAGCCTGAATTGTTTCTAAACAATTAACCAAAAAATAAAAGCTTTAGTTTCAAGGGTGAGTGACATCCCCCGTAATGTGATGGGCCGTTACCCCCTCCTGTTACCCCCTCCTGAAGGAACCCCAGCGGCCTCCCGGCGCGGCAGCGCCACCTGCTGGAACGTGGGCGCAGCGCGGGCTTCCCAGCCCAGCGCAGGAGGGCCCCTGCGTGTCTGCGGGGAAAAGCCTTGGTTTGAAAGAAACAGCCCCTCGGTTTGCACGTCCTCACA